GCATACATTGCTACTTTGTGCAGGCATCGTTCCTATGTATATCACAACAAATCATCGTCTGGTGACTGTGGAAGATCGCTTAAGACTGCATGACATGGAACTCAATTCTTGCTGCCTCATCAAGGAAAGATATCATGGATAATTTTCAATGTAGGGACGTCTGTCTTAACACAATTGTCTTTATTCAAGTTTATACGGTTCATAAATGAAATGGAAATTGTAGAAAAATAATAGGTAGGAACGTATGCTCGATAAAAACGTCGTAACGGAGTGTTTGGCCTATATTCAAGGTTGTACTGTGTAAACAAATTAAATAATTACCATGGGATGTAATAATAAGATAATAAGACAAGACATATGTTGTTCATAAACATTATTATGAACGATAAGTTAGAAATATATCAAAAATGCAGTGCTATATGCGTCATTTCCAAGGAAGATAGACTAACGCATACCTTTCATACCCTAGCATTACAATACTTAGTCTTCTTTACACACCGCGTTATTAGTCAAAAGGAGATATACAATACTGAGCTTACACCCTTCGGCATAACATATTTCTACATATGATTTCATATATCGAGGTTTAATTTTGAATGTGCGCGCGGAAATCACAATTTTTCTTCCAGTGTTCAACGAGTGAGCACAGCGAGTGAGTGGATATATCGTAACTTATGATTTTTTTTTTGTTATATTGAACTCCAATTTATATCTAGAAGTTAAGAAACAAAACAAGTTGTACGAGGTATCCATGACAAAGTAATATTTTCGATTTTCATTACATGCGAAAAAGATCGTCACTCTTTTGATTACCTGCTATTTAATACCGTTATCAAGCGCAGACGAAAACGATCTTTCTAGTTCTAGTTCTTTAATTGTTTCAGTGATCGAAACACGACTGTAGCTATAACATTTCGATTCTATCCAAATTTCACTCTTATATTTTCTTTACTTACAAATAGATTACGAGAAAACAAAAGATACACTGAATMGAGAAAAAGATGGTCAGACGATGACATTTATCGACCGCGTTATACGCAACACTCCTTACATATCTCGTGATGTCTTGAATTCCATTCGTATGGAAGTACGTAATCACATTTAAAACCTCAYGGCCTCGCAGTTTTGTCAAGTGCCTGATAAGATTTGCAGCCGTGGAGCTYCGTGATAAAGAGGGGAGAAGAGGGTCTCGGGGAAGAAGAGGTCGACCAGGTCCTAAGGGAATAAACGGACTTCCTGGAAAATATGGTAAACAAGGACTGAGAGGACTCCTGGACTAAAGGGACAAAAGGGCGATATTGGACATCCAGGACCGCCWGGACTGCCGTGACCGAAAGGGCAACGAGGCGAAGAGTTTCTTAGCCTTCGGTTCTTGTTTTGCCATCGAAACTGACAGTTACTGAAAACCAGACTGCTACGTTTCATTGCAATGCTCACGGTAATCCCAAACCAAAGATAACATGGAAAAAAGAATCTGCAAAGATTGATTTTAGTAAAACCTGAATAGATAAATCAGGATTGCTTGAAACCTCGAATGTTGATGAAAACGATACAGGAAACTACACGTGCTCTGATAAGAGTGTTCTCGGAGAGGATGAAAATACAGTATCTCTTCTTGTTAAATGTGAGTAAACAAATATTAGCTTTGAAGATTGAAAAGCAATATGTTTTTCTGCAGAATTAAATTCAAGATTTTTTTCTTCGGTTAATAATTTCGATCGGATATACCGTGATATTAGGTCGCAAATATTGTTGTTTGTTGTTCAGTGTCTTATCAGATTATGAATGCAATGTTTGATTTCGAGATGCACCTGAGTTAGCGTGATTGTTATAAAAGTCAGTTTGCTTGTTAAATCTTTGAATAATTTTATTTAGCATTTTATCCGACTGATGTTTTGAAACTGGCGTTAATTTGCGAATTATAGTTTTCTTTGTTTGATAGTTCCACCTAGATTCATAAAGATGCCAGAGCCATTCCAAAGAGTTCTTCATAAAAGTACTGTAAAATTGGCATGCACTGCATCGGGTTATCAACCACCGAAAATCACGTGGTCTAAACTTTATGGTTCTCTACCTTCACAGCGAAGTCAGCAAAATGGAGGGAAACTTACAATGCAAAGATTCCAGCTAAGCGATGGGGGGTCTTATCAATGGCAAGCAGTGAATTCGTTAGGCACAAAGACACTTCACACTTCATTGAATTTCCGTATGTCATTACTTTGTTGATTATAATCAGCTTAAAAGGGTACATTAAAAGTGTAATATAAGTAGAATGAAATAGAACAAAACACCAACTTGAAGCTATAATAACTCTATTTATCGGACGTTTCGGCACCTTCTTCAGCAAACTCTCTATATATATCACTTTCAGAATATCTTGTTACCGATTAGTATTATTATTTTGGTACCCACCAAAATATAGGGCAAAGTTAAAGTGCTACTTTCATGAAAGTGACCCTATTTCAAAACTTCAAGAAATACAAATATATGACTCATTTTATCTATTAAAAGCAGTTGCGGGAAAATATTTGTTTTGGAGTTATCCCACATATGAGAAATTTTGATTCAAAAGATGGAAGAACAAAAGGATGGAGTAGATGACGTCATCTACTCTCACATTTTTTTGCCCAAAATATTAAGGATTTGTATCAATTTTTTGTTGAAATCTGTTGCTTCATGATTATTAGACCCATATGGATAGGTCTATTCGATTTCCAAGTCTTTTCTAATGTTTTGCAATTTTCGTCCAAGTAGCCCTTATGGATGCAAGTTATAAAACCATTGGGTTCTGAACTTTCCGAATTTTACTGGGAGGATGCATGAGGCTCATCTTCCCAGTATGGAAAATTATGCATTTCGGCTTCAAAGATATCCAGCTACTCTTTGAAGACAACGAGGACCACAATGAGCTTCCACTTGTATTTAGGACGAAATAAATAAACGGCTTCTCCCATTTGCTAACAAGGCGTGTATATTCTATTATAAATATTATAGCGTTTCGTTCTTATACGATTAAGAAAAATTCGCACCTTTGTGGATCTGTTTAAAATCCCAACTAATCTAACAAAGTACATTTGCCTCCAGTACTTTCTACTTGTCGAATGTGCATTACGCTTCTCAAGCTCGCACACTGAGAATTTTAGTCAGGTGATATCGGAAGTCTATATATTATCACAATCAAAAGATGTATTTGTTAAAATAACACTCTTGTATAAATATTTAAGAGAGTCATTACCCAACTATCGAAAACAAAGAGGGSGTTATGGGAAATGGAGTCAGGCTTAGAAATTGAAAATAATGAAAGGGTTAAACTTAAAGATAATGTAAAACTGAAACTATATATTGTAATTAATTATTATAATAAAAAATAATTAATTGATTGAATATTTCATTTCGCATTTACTTGACACTTAAATTTCTACGAAGACTCGAAATTTAAGGCTAGATTTAAGGAGAAGTATATGATTTCATCGCTACTAGCAGTTATTTTCAAACATTCTGAAGGCTATAATATATCATTTATCTGTTGCATCCTGGATRATATCATCTGAATTTTTGGGTTTTTATCCGTAATGAAAGGATGCAAATCAAACTGATTATCATTTTATACATGACATTTTTAGACTTATTTAAACATTTTATTTACCTGTCAATCACATAAACTAGACAAAACGTATCCTGATGCCTCAACGTTCAGTGTTAGTATATAATAGTGTGTCCTCCTCAAATTGCAAGGTTTACAAAAAAGGAAACTAGAATTGCGGTCGACCATGCTTGATAGACAACAATTGAATGCCGTTTGATTGTTAAAATTTTCTTTCGTTGCGTGATCGGGAGAAAGAGGAAGTGCAACCCCATCGACCTTGATGCAGATCAACTTCACAACAGTCACAATCTAACGTGTCTGGTCCTATCATAAGTAATAATATATATTCTTCGCGTTCGTCCTTGTGCCAGTCTCATCAGTACACAGAACCGAATCACCAACATGTCTTCTTCAAAGGATCCTGGCAAACCA